CACACACACACACACACACACACACACGGAACAAGAACAAAAAATTCTTGCCCATCAAAACAGGAAAAAAAAAAAAAGTAGGCATACTTTTGGCATTGCTGTAGAATCAAGGATGAGATACTAGAACAATACTAGGATGAGGTACTAGAACAACACTAGTTCCAATAAAGAAAGAATTGGCCACTCGGGGAATTTGCATGTTAAACTATAAAGTAACTCTATATTCTTGAGTTCCATTTGTTTAATTGAAAAACGCTCTTGAAATGTAACTAAGGGTTTGTGGGTATAGAAAATGTGCTCTAAGAACAACTGAAGACAGTATAATGTGTCTCAGAAAGTATAATCTGATATCACTAGAAAAAGGTAACCTCAATTTATATGCAATTTGTATTTCATTCCCTCTATACTCCTAAGTTCACCTTTTTTATAAATAAGAAATGAAAGAAATGCTGCTAAATGCTTTATTAATTTACTAACTAAAGAGTAAAATAAAACAGCAAAGTAATAGAGTTACTGTATTATAAGCCTATTTATCAGAAAAATCACAACTTAACCCTTGCATCATGAAAGAAAAGATTTTTGCTACATAAAATACAACCTAAAGTCAAAATTTTTCATTTGTATGTAAATGTATATGTTAAATATCAAGAATATTTCTGAGAAGGCTATAACCAATTCTTATGAACATAAAAGCAGGAGTCAGCAAATGTTTTTCTAGCAAAAAGCCAACCAATAAATCTTAGGCTTTGGGGGCCACACATTATTGAAACAGCTCAACTCTGCAATTGAAAAGCAAAAAGTAGACACAGATGATATAAACAAACTAGCATAACTCTATAAGTTTATTTATAGACTTTGATATTTGAATTTCATGTTAATTTTCACATCACAAAATATAACTTTTCCCCAATTATTTAAAACTAGAGGGGCTGGGAATTTGGCTCAGTGGTAGAGTGCTCGCCTAGCACAGGCAGGACCGGGGTTCGATCCTTAGCACCACATAAAAATAAAGGCATTGTGTTGTTTCCATCTACACCTAAAAATAAATAAATAAATAGATAGATAAAAATAAAACTAGAAAAACCACTCTTAGCATTCAGGCAATACAAAAACAGGCAACAGGTCAGATTTGGCTTTGTGGGTCATAGTTTGCTGACACCTATGTTACAGAATGCCAAACTTATGTGTGTAATACTACATGCCAGCTCAGTGAGAGGACTTGCCTAGCATGCATGAGGCCCTGGGTTCCACGCCCGGCACAGGGGAAGGGGCGGGGTGGAGACACCCCAACATACAAAAGGGATATGATATCAGACACATGGTTTCCAGATGTTTGTTCTCATTATATTTCAAGATAAGGGTGAAAGAAAACAGAAATGATAGGGTAGGAAAGCAGAAATACTTCTGCCTTAAGAGAAAAATCTGTCAAGCTTTTTAGACATTTGCTTAATATATAAGAGAAAATCAGCTCTAGCTCAACAGACACTGAAGCAATGTTGGGATGTAACAATATGCAACATTCTGAGGCTCAGGTCATATTTTCAACAAAGTGTTTCTTGGATCCTAATTAGAAAAAAGTTATATTCCATGTATGTATGATATGTCAAAATATATTTTATGCCATTTATACCTACAGAGAACTTTAAAAAAATTCAAAAACCAAACCAAACCAAAAAAAAAAAAAAAAAGCATTTCTTAAACCAAAGAAAGATGAGAGGCCAACAGTTCATGCCAGCAATACTGTAAGATCTGCCCTTTTCTTATCACCTATTTTCTGGTTAAAACAAAATTCACAACATAAAACACCAGAATTTTTCAATTAATAACCTACCTCGCATGTTCCTGAACACCCACAATCTCTACTTCACTATCTGAAGAGGCAATATTAATTTCTTCATTAAGTGGTGCATTGCCAGCAGATGTTTTGTCACTTGCTAGGAATCCTGGATCCAAGTGACCTGAGAGAGAAGAGGAGAGAGAAGCACTACAGTTTAATTTCTTACAAACAGCAGAAACAACCTGACAGATTTCTTACCAGTTTTAATCAAAGAAATGGTAACCTTATAATCCTATGACAGCTTTTGCCTCAGCAAAACTATTACCCACGTGAAATAAGCTCAGCAGTGTTCTACCATTTTCTAAATTCATTTTACACAAATAAAATATAAGCTCATCACATATATTCTAACAGTTTGTCAGTACATAAAGGCATGAACTCAAAGTCACTCACTCTATACTCTTATTCCTTAGGAGAAAAAAAACTTTCAATACTTTAGCAAATGTCTCTATCTAAATATATAAAAAATATATAAAATACATAAAATTTCACAATGCTTTTTGTATTCAACTCTAGCCTACTTTTTAATGACCTACATAACCACCAAGAGGACAATGGGGTAGTTCTCTGCTGTTTATTGTAATAGAATAAAATTCTAAACCAGGCAATATAAAGGCATAAATGAAATAATACAAGTTTTCATTAGTACCATATTTATACTAGGATGCTTTGTGAAAGACTTTATATTTTTCTCTATAATAAAGGAATGCAGATTTGACAAATCCTGACCCCAAACTATATCTAAAAGGGAAAGCTACAGGTAGATCACAATTCTGGCTCTGAGCAACTGAAGCAGTAACTGTATATATATATATATATATATTTTTTTTTTAGAGAGAATTTTTTAATATTTATTTTTTAGTTTTCGGCAGACACAACATCTTTGTTTGTATGTGGTGCTGAGGATCGAACCCGGGCCGCACGCATGCCAGGCGAGCGCGCTACCGCTTGAGCCACATCCCCAGCCTAGTAACTGTATATTGTTGATAGTTCTCATTACACTTAAATCACACACACTGGAAAAGCACAACAGCTCATAAAGTTGTTTATTACATGATGAAATAAAACACATTCTCCAACATGACAGAAGCATGAGCTTCACAGACTTCTCTCTTTCAATAAAGGATAATGTGATAAAATCAAAGTACATGGCTCTACAATCAATTTTAGTTAAAATAACTCAGCTTATATGCCCAGCGCTTGAATGTTTTAACTTAAAAACATGAATATGGAAATGTTTAAAAGTTAAGACGAAATAAACAGAGTTGCAATAGATACAAATTTTCACTTCCTGTAAAGAGTACTTAAATATTGATATATGATACAATGCGATTTTTTCCATGTTTAAAAATTCTTCATGACACCTTACATAAACTATATCAATGTAAAGGAAGTTTACCATACAACTTTCCCTTTCCTCTCCTTTCACTTTTTCCAATACTTCAATGTCACTGAGAAATCTTGTACTTTCATATTCCTCCTGTCAACATTCAATATACTTCTTTCCTATACTTCTGCAAAAGTATAGGCAGTCTCAAAGCAAATTTGACAATTTTTATATTCTCTGACCCTGTAAACCCATCCCTTAGAATTTACCCTAAGGGAAAAGATTTTAAATAAGCAATACATTAATGTCCAAAGACATTCACTGTAACACTAGATGGAAACTTGGGAAGGTCTTACACATAAAATACAAATTATCACATACTAAAAAATGTGTAAATGAGGAGTAAAGTTGTGGAAAAAAATGAATGAGACTGTGGGTCTTTTTCACAATTCTCCCCCCAACCCCCCATACTGAGGATTAAACCCAGCAGTGCTCCACCTCTGAGCTACATTTCCCCAGCCCTATTTATTTAATTTTGAGACAGGGTCTCACTGAATTACTCAGGATGGATTCAAACTTGAAATCTTCCTGCTTCAGCCTACTGAGTTGCTGGGATTATAGACATTCACCACTGCACACAGCTCACCATTCTTTAATGTTACGTTTACCTGTTTTTCTTCAATTGACAAAGATGTGCATATGAGAAAACAGAAAACTGGAAAGCTTAAAATGGACCCTAGACACAACTACATAGATAGACTAAGATATATGGGTCTGTAACCTAGATAGGATCCTGTACAGTGGCACAGGCAATACACACAAATCTTTGAACCCTACAAGCACATAAAAGGTACATCCGAAAACACCCAGTTTTTAAAATCTAGTGTGGTTATTTAAATAGACTTTGGTTAAGTCTAGAATTCATAACCTAATTCTTGTTCTGGCTCCCAACACCTTGCTATATAGCCAAGTCTTATCCAATTTCTACCTTGATGTTTTAATTATGGTTATCCACTGTGCATACTATTCCAAATGTACTGCTAGAGGAATACATACTGATAGTCCTCTGTCAAGCCTTCAACCTATCCATGGTCTTTACTGTTTTTTTTTTTTTTTGTTTTTTTTTTGCGGTGCTAGGGATTGAACCAAGGACCCTGTGCATGCAAGGCAAGCACTCTACCAACTACGCTACATCCCCAGCCCTTTACTCTCTAATTCATCTGTTCCTCAAAAAGCACTTGTTTGTGACATGCTCTACACTACTCCAGGTGCTCCAAGACTACAGGGCAAGGGCAGGCATAATCTCTATCCTCTATGAAACTACAACACATTCAAGGACAGTAAAAAATAGCCCATTGCATTGTGACTTAAAAACTGCTGATATGGAGATAAAGAATAGCCCAGAAACATACAGAAAAGGCACAGTCCCCAGATTTGAGAGCCATCTGGGAAGCTAAGTTCTCAGGGAAATTAGGCACAGGTGAGGATATGAAGTAGCACAAGGAACACTTTGTTGTCCTTGAGGGTCCAAAGGTTTATCAAGATTTGGGGTAATAGTACTAAAAGAGCAATGAAAAACAAAGCTGGCAAAGTCAGCAAAGATAACAGCATGGTAAACAGTCTGAGCTTGATCTTGAGAAGTGGGAAGCCACTGAAAGATCTAAGCTGAGAAGTGACATGATCTGTTTTTGTATTTCAGAGTCTCCTTCTGGAGCATAGAAATGAAACTAACAGCAAAACAGGAGGCAAGGGAACCAAACGAACTACTACATTCTCCTGGGGGACAAATGACTGTGACTAAAGAAGAAAAGGCAACTGTGTGTATGTATGTTCAGAGGGTTAGAGGTATTGGGAATTGGGCAAATGAAATAAGAAACCAGGACATGAAAAAAATGATGCTTAGATTGCTGATTTAGGTAACTGTATAGAGTCATAGTACCATTCAATGCACTAATGAAAGTGGAGCTGCTAAATATGTGTTTAAGATAGATGTCTAGCAGGCAGTTGGAGGTACTCTTCTAAAGCTCGGACCAGAGGTCTAGAGAAGAAAAAGAGACTTGATAAGTCTTTGGTAACAGTGGGAAGAGAAATTTCATCCACAGGACTACAGGAAGCCTACAACAGAACCCTGATGAACAGCAATAATTAAAGAGATGGGCAGAGGAAGGGGAACCCACAAAGAGAGAAAAACCTAAGAATGACATCATGGATAACAAAGAGCATTCCTAGAAGTGATTAATAATACCCACTGAGAAATCAGGTAAGAAAAGAGATCCAGGAGACTGACTAGAATCAATGATAAGACAATCATAATGACCTTGACAAGCAGAGCCTCAGGAGTAATAGGGCCCAAAGTCAATGTGGCAAAGCAAGCTGAAAAATAATGGAAGAGAAGGAAAAGCAGAAGTTTAAGTCTGAGTTGGAGGAAGGATACAGGTAGTACTGAGTGAGAATGCAGGTTTGAGAGAAGGAGATGTGTGTGTATGTACAGTTTTTAAGATAGGACAGTGAGACAGGTACAGTGGTATATGCCTGCAACTCTAGCAACTTAGAAGGTTAAGGCAGATGAATCACAAGTTCAAGGCAAAGGGCTGGGGATATAGTTCAGTGGTAGAGCACCCTAGGGTTAAATCTCCAAATCCCTCTCTCCCTCCCTCCCGGCACCCAACACACAAAGATGGGAGAGACCTGGTCATATTTATAAGAATAAAGGCAAAGAACAGGTTTGATGGCAGAAAGCTGAAGTGATAGTCACCTGTGAAGAATGTGCTGAGGCCATCTACAAAGCACAAATATGGTTAAGGTAGCAGGAGCTTAGAAAAGTAAGAGTCATTTTAAAAGGAGAATGCCCCTAAGGTAAGGGGGTAATTGCTGGGCAGCACTGAGAATAAGAATGAAGTTGCAGATATGTAATTTTCTCCAGCTTAGCTTAGCAGTGTAGACACAAGACTAAAAATTCATCAAGGGATCAGATTTTGTCAGGTGGGCACATCTGGAAAGTCAACTCTACAAGATAGCGGAGGAAGGATACTGGTAAAGCAGAGTTGGCCCAAATGCAGGCTTGACAGAGAAGAAAGTGAAGCTGTGAGGGGACTAATAAAGGGCTTTAGGGACAGGTACAATGAGGTACAGAAAAAGTAAAAATGGTATAGTGGAGATAAAAATATGAGAGTACAGAAAAGCCCTCCAGTGGAAAAACAGAATGTAGTCAAGAGAGCTAGGAGGAAACTAATGGTTAGGAGAAAACTGTATTTCTACCCTCTTAGCTACCCAGAAAAATCCAAGTCCTGGGACCATTATTCCTTTTCTCCTGTCTTCCTTCCACTCTGTTGTTCTTTGCTGTGACTACCTGCAACTCACCTTCCTACAATTTTTCCATTGCCCTCCAGAATCCCAGTTCCTTGGTAAACTGAAAAACTGAACTAAATGTTCTACTTCCCTGTGGAAACAGCCTTTCCTGAAAATGCTGCCTCCCCTGCAGTCCTATTAAGAGGAAACTGTTTCTGACCCCTATTCTGGGATTGACACCACTTGTAAATGACTATCGTCCATCCTACTGCACCAACGCTAGCAGTTGACATGCTCCAGAGTGTTACCTTTCACTGTCTTACAGTTTTACTTCATCATTAAACATTATTGGTACCTGGCTTAGTCTCTATTTCTACTTTCCAATCCTGCTTCATGAATAATTATTTATGTACACAACTTCAAAACTGTCATCGACTACTCACTAAGAAGCAAGGAGGTGAGCTCCAAAAGCCACTTAGAGTCACTTGTGGACACTCATATCAAGG